CAAAAAGATAAATATTGACACAGCTGGTTACTATTTTGTGTAAATTAATTGAATGAGTTATTCTAAAAAGTACCAGAACACGAAAAATAATGTTAAACTTTAGGATATATTACTTACTATTTAAATAAGTAGTGCAATATTTTATATATTTAACTCTGTCGCTTAGATCAGACATGTCAACTTGATTCTTGAGTTTACTTAGTGCGGAACACAAGAATACTCGTCCTATTCAAAAAGAGTACACCGGCTTGGCTATTCTTGTCCTTTTTATCTAAGGCGATAAAGGCCATTTTCTCCTTCTAATCAGACATCGGTAAGGACTTGTACTCTTTGCCATAAAAAGCTTGTTCCTTTTAACCAGCCCGAAGCAACATGTCAGCCATCCTCTCACAAAGAGCTAACACCCAATCCCTGTCCAACTCACTTGATTCCGAGTCGCGTTGTAGCTCACGCCAATAGTCGTCAACTCGTAGAAAGTCGAAACTATTTGCTGGCGCTGTCACCAGGTTGTATGGTATACGATGGAAAGCAGAGAGTCCAGGAGGGCCGGTTGTGGTCTTCGGCTTGAAGACACGGTTGAGGAGAGGAGAAAGCTTGCCAAAGGAGGGGCCAACTCGCGAGTCCTCGAGCAACAACAGGCCGAGCAACAGAATCCGAGATAGGCGGACCAACCTAGACAACTGGAAAAAAGACAACATGTTTCAACAGAACTACTCCTCCTATCTGCAGCAAGGGAAATGGGTCGACAAACCGACGGGATGATACATATACAGACAAGAGGGAGAAAGGTAGACGAACAGATGCTGATTTATTGAAACTCTTAGAGTGGCGAAACAAGGCAAGGAAAATGTAGAAAAATTGGGTTTAGAAGAATTTCTTATTAGATTCATGTTGAAGTACCTTTCATTTCGTTTGAAGAGGCGAGTGTAGGGGATTCGTAAGTTGGTTCCATCGGTGGCTGTGAGAGCCTTGAACTATGCCACCGAATGAGTGCTCTCGAAAGGTTTGAACTTTGCTTTGCCAAACAGTAATAATAATAGAGAGGAGATTCTGGTGGAACTCATAAGTGTTCCAGACCATCTTCCAGAAGAGACTAGGAGTGACATTAAATTACGAGTCATTCATTTAATTGATAGCCATTTGAAAATAACACCCATGAATAAGAAAGTGAAAAGCATCATAAGGAAACTGGACGATGAGGACCAAATGGTATTGAGAGCAGACAAATGAGGAGCAGTGGTAGTTATGGCTAGGTTGAGTTATGTAAAAAAAAAGATGCAGGCTTTGGATGAAACCCTTAAGTCTATACTCAGAGGTTGCCTGCAGCATTATTTAACAAACGGAGAACTAAAGAAGTGGAAAATAACACGCTTCTTTAACGACATGCTAGGCCTCCAAAAGCATAGTGTCCGCCCAAAATACATAAAAATGGAGTCCCACTTTAAATTATTATTAATAATAAGGGAAGCGTAATGCATAAAACATCACGATTTATTTGTAACCATCTAAAGAAAATCTCCGAGACGTGGAAGGTTTCAGTTAAGAATTCTTATGAATTCGTTAACATAGTCGACGAGCAGGAGATAGAAAGTGGGGATTTGCCGATAAGTTTTGATGTTGAGCCTCTGTACGCTAACATTCCTGTAGACGATGCCATACAGGCCTTGTATTCCATACTAGACAAACATGCGGAGATTTTAATGAGTATTAGGGTGAGTAAAGAGTCAATAATGATACTGACCAACCTAGCGATGTACTGTGCATATTTTAGCTTTAATAGTAAACTGTACCAGCAAACACGCGGTTTAGCTATTGGATCGTGTTTGTCACCAATTTTAGCAAATAATTACATGGCTCGATTTGAAGAACGCTTAGTTCAGGAGGCACTTTTACTCCTTAAATTATTAGTTGGCTATATGGACGACTACTTTGCTATTTGGCAAAATGGAAAAGGAAGCCTGGAGAATTGTCTTGGTTTGATGAACAGGACCGATGGGAAGACGAAGTTAGAAAAGGAAGGTGGTTTACCTTTTCTTGATGTCCAAGTTGGCAAAAAGAGAACTATATTAGGTCGAGATATGTATGGGGTCTGTGATAATAAGGAGCATGCGTCTGGCAGATGTTATTATCGAGACCAAGAACTGAGGCGACTAAGGCGAATTCTGGTTAAGAATAATTATCCAGGAGGGCTGGTTGACGACTATTTTCGAATATTGTCAAATTGAGTGAAGATAAATACATATTTGGGGCTAGATAAAAATACAGATCACTCTAGCAGGATCCTTATGCTGCCATCGTGTAATCTGTCGAAGAAGATAGGCTTAGTACTGACAATGTGGGACATCAGTACCATTTATGAAGAGAAAATAGCAATGTCCTCGGTATTGCCTTCCTTTCGAGAATACCCTGACCCGGACTACAGATCGTGCTGCTGCAAGATTTTCTGTTCATATGATAGTGCCTATGTGGGAGAGACCTGT